GATCTAAGATCGGACGCAACTCCCCATCCTTCTTCGGAACGATGAAGTAACGGCTGTAGAGCCCGGACTCTCTCTCGAGAGGCGGAACACGTTCTATATCAATGAACCACCGTGAGGGCACTGAGGGAACAACCGACCTGACTGCTGTAGCCTCTTCACTTGATGGGGTGAGCTCGCAGCGCGGGGTTCCGAACACTGAGAGAGAGCAGCGGATCTAGCGGGTGAGGACCGAGAAAAGGACGAGCCCGTCTCGGATCCCTCCGCTAAATCCACCTGTGAAACAATCACTGCAAAACCATTTCACTTGCACTCAAAATCAAACGGTGCTCTCAGATCACACACACACACGAGTCAATAAAGAAAACACTACAGAGCATTCATTAGACACTACAGAGAAAAATGGAGAACACAGCATCCAGAACATTACAGAAAAAAGTCTATTGTATTGAGTAAATTATTTTGCAATTCTGTAAAAAAGTACAGTAATTGCAACTGAGTAAGGTGAATATATTGTATAGGCCTACTGTATGTACTGCAAGAATAGTATTGTGCTGAGAATTGAATAGTACTGAATGTTTGTATATATTCAACGCTTGGATACTACAAAAATACTGCAGTCCAACTGCAAAGGCCAAAAAGGTCAAATAAAACTCTAAAGGAATGGCACGTTACAGTACCATTCAGATCTAAACAAAAAGTTGTGCAATTGTAAAATCAGGGTCAATGAGAGATTCATTCTGTCTCAGCATCATGTCTTTGTGCTTGAGTCCGGCCTGAGGACTTTGTCCACATCACAAGTTATGTAGTCTTTTTTGCTAGACAAAGCAAAAAAACCCTCTGGGCTGACAGATCCAGCCTTGATAACACTCTCTAAATCTTACTCTTTCTCTCCTCATCCTCTTCTTTCACATCCTCCACTTCTTACATGTACTCTTCCTCCTCTCCTTCTCAGATTGTTTCCATCTATTGTTCGTATTATCATTCAGTCACCTGTGCCACTTGTGCACTCTGAACTGGCTCATATTTTGTATAGTTGGTTTGATCACATCATTAGAAACAAGAGTGAACAATTTTGAATCGTTGTGTGCAAACGATGACAACTATGCTTTAGTTGTGTTTAACTTTTGCCGCTTGTGTTTAGCATTTTGCAGCACAAATGCATCACAGTGTGACAAGTGTTTAAGTGAATGAGAATGTGTTTAGAGTTTTGCAAAAAGAGTGCATGAG